AGAAAGAAAGAAAGAAAGAAAGAAAGAAAGAAAGAAAGAAAGAAAGATATATTATCAGGAAAGAGCGCAAAGTTGAAATCTTGAGCTCAACTCTTATCAACTTCATGGGCCCATTCATTCAGCCCACTTGGCAACAATAGGGAAATGATTTTGCCATTTTCTTTCTCAAGAATGTTTTTCAATTTCAGTCTACAATTTACTGTCAAGGATTTCTTGGAGACTTCCATCCAAGGAGTAACCAGACTTATTCTTGCTCTCATCTTTTTTTTTTTTTTTTGATCAGCTGAATTTGCTCGTAGAGAAAAATGATTTACCATAGTTTAAAATAGAAATATTGCTTGTCTCTGTAGGCTGGCTGTAGTGGGGTACTGGCGCATGGAGGTTGCCATTTGGTAATTGAGAGGGCCATTTTCCTAGGTTCCACCAGATATATTTCCTTCATAATTGGGAACCTCAACATTCTGCCTTCCTACTCCAGGGGACCAGGTAGACATATGTCCAAGTTCCCAACTCCATATCCTAACTGTAAATTCTACAAGACACAGCTTCAATATACCTAAAAAGTACCAGGTTCATAAAGGCTGGTTGAATATCTGGATAATACTTGGCACTTTCAATTTTATTTGAAATGCTGGCAAACATTTTGTTTAATTCTAGGTATCACACACACAAAAGAAAAGACAGTAGATGTGTTGAAAAAGAACTTTGCACACCCCTTAATCTATAGTAAGAGACATCTGTATCACAGTTCAGGTCTTCTTTTTCTATTCTTTTACATGACTTTAATCAAGGTTTCATGTCTCTATATTTTATAAACTCCACCCTATGAAGGTGCTTTCTTTCTATCTGAACTCAAATAATACCGATAGACTTCTATACCTACGTTTTCTGCAAACACTGGTTGACTTATATTGTAGGGAGTGGCATAGTTAATGCCTAACAGGGTTATTTAAAAAGGAAAGAAAAACACCCCCACCTAGCCAACTATTTTGCAATTCTTTGCACTGGGTGTTAGATGTTCTCAAAGAAAAGAAATTTATGACCTTGAGTGCTTCCTCATGAAGATACTGAAAAGATGACAATTAATTCAATTCTGCAAACTGTCTTACACACCCACACACAACCAGATCCTCCTTTTCCATTAAATTTTGACACCTTTGTAAAAAACAACAACAAGCAATTGGCATGCACGTTGGCAGTCCTTTTTAATGTTTAGTATAAAACTGCATACTTTTAGAAAGAGAAAAATTGTCTTCATTTTCCTCCCACTAATGTTTCACATAACAAATAAAGACACTATAAAAAAACATTGCCTCTGGAAAAGTTTATGTTAACTAGTTTCCTTCTTTCCTCAGTAGGGCAATGCTTGTGGAGTAAAGGTAGTCTTTGATTTACAACCACAATTGAGCCCAAATTTTCCATTGCTAAGTAAGACCGTTGTTAAATGAGTTTTGCCTCATTTTATGATCTTTCTTGAGATAGTTGTTAAGTGGATCATTGCAGTTGTTAAGTGATTCTGGCTTCCCTGTTGAGTTTGCTTGTCAGAAGGTCGCCAAAGCTGATTATATGATCCTAGGACACCGCAACCGTCATAAGTACATGCCAGTTGCCAAGCCTCCTAATTTTGATCATGTAACCATGAGGATGCTACAATGGTTGTTAAGAGAGAAAA